CTATCCATCTGACTTTTTCTCGCTATGTAGTCTTGGGTTAAATTATACAGCTCCTTGAAGCTTCAGGTTCCTTAGCTACCAAATAGGAGCAATAATAACAGCTACAGCAGCAGCAGTGACAACAATAACAACAGTTCTTTCACAGAGCACTTCAGGAACCAAATGAAATAATGCTTGTAAGGTTAAATGTCTGATATATGCTAGTCACTATGTATCATCATCAACATTAACCTATCCTACCGATCTGTAAATCTGACCACTGTATCAATTAAACTATTTATTGTTTGTAAGGCATTTACATGCTGGGTACTATTGGAACAAAAATTAAACCTGTACCACTATATAGGTTAGTGTCAACAGTAATTTTTGATGTCTAGCCTCAGATGGACCATTGCTACTACTTGGAAAGCCTTATACTTGTCCCAAGAGCACAAAGACTTGAACAACATTTTAAGGTCTTTATTTTAATTAAACAACTGGTGTTTTAATCCTTTATTATAAATTCTCAGTAAAGTGGATGTCTAGCCTCTGCTTGAATGCATCCAATGAGGAACCAAGTCACTTTCTACCAGCTGAATACTACATCCTCTGAACAGCAAGACTGAGAATATTCCTTCTTATATTAAAAGTTGAAGACTGGATTGCTTAAATGTCTATCCACCACTGTCCTACATTTTAACTTTAAAAGTTACAGAAAAAGCCAAGCTATTCTTGAAGATGTTTTCTACATTACTTCTTTAAAAGTAAGTCCTTTAGTCATTGTCTATATATATGATAGAGTTGCAAATATATTTTACTCACTTGTCCTGAATATTATGCTTCTAATATTCAGCACAAGGCTAAGGTACTTACAATTAGGTTTACTGTTACAGAAAGAACTGCTTTTAAAATAATTATCTTTAATTAGTCCTCCTGGGGAAACACCAGGCCAGTATAGAACTGGGTACATACGAAAGCCCCTGATTATCCTAATTGCCAGAAACATATACCTGTGTAGGAAAAAAAATCAGCGCTTTGATGGAAAACTATGCATTATCTAGAGTAGGGCTGGTTCTGTAAAAAGCCAGATAGAAAATACTCAAGCTTAGGCCAGACTGTCTTGCTACAGCTGTGCAACCCTGACCCTGCACCAAGAACAGCCCTTAGCCAACAGGTAAAAGAATGGGCATGGCCACATTCCAGTTCAAAAGAAGGTGGGTATTGGCTGTCAGCCAGTGTGCTCGCCCCTGGTCTGTGGCATACCTCTTCAGTGTATGTGATTTGCATTCTATGGGAGCTTTCATCACTCTGTAATTTATAGATTATTGATAACAATGCAAAATAACTTTCTACAGACTTGTAAAAAAAATGTTCCTCTCCAGTGTAGGGATGAAAACCTCTACTGTTTACCCCCTGCACCATAAAAAATGTCCTGCCTCTGTTTGTACATTCATTTGTATATTTTTGCTCATGAATGTGACTATTTTTGGATTTTCCTTTGAACTGGTTCTTCACTGATGAGATAAAATCTACATACTTATTCAGTTTTGTATCTGTGGGAGAGTCATGATTCTGCCTTTTGTTTTAAAGAATTATTCTTTAACATCTTCAGTGTGCTGTTAGACAACTAAGATGTGTTTAAATTATCTCCCATCTCTTTCTTCTCATGTGGCCTAGAGCACCACTATATCAATTCAGACAAACCACAGTGTTCCCCTAAATAAATATCCCATTCAAGCCAAACTAAAATGCTGTAAAACACTAATTTGTTCTTCCATTCAAAATAGATTTACTGAGACCTTCCATTTGTTAGACTCTGAGATAGGTGGTAGAAATACAACAAATAAGGCCCTGCTTTCTGGTGGGAGACAATTAAGGAAGCAGATACAATGCAGTGAGTGCTTTGCCTCACTTTCATTAATCCTATGCTCTCCCTGAGCTCTCTCTTCTCTACTGTGTCCATTCACTCACTCTCTCAGGCCTTAGGATTCTACACATCCTTTGCAAAATCATTGTAAAATCATTTATTTTTTTCTTTTGAATTTCAGATTACATCTGTGCTACTTACTTGAGATTTACTGTATGATGTATCACCAATAATTTTAGCTAATCTTCTGTGTATACATATCTTCTCTCCTCCAACTAGAAAAAATGCATTGCCATTTTGACTTACCTATTCACAAGTGACAAAAATCTAAGGAAGTATAAAACAGTGATTACAAAATTATATCCAAATAACCACCTTGAAGCCATGTTTTCTTATAAAAACCCCTAAGGAACATAAACTCTGCTATTAATGTACATAAAATGCCGCTGGCATTCTGCAAGATTCAGGGTAATTTAATAATGCCTGATGGGCCTTACTTCATGCTAAGATGATGTAATAACGCATCGTTAAATGAGTCTCCTCATACTACCTTGATGACAATCCCATAACTGATGGGCCATTAAAGGAAACTGGGAGAGCAGTATTACTGGAAACACTGGTAGATCACACATTACCAGAAATACTGTTTGGAATACAGGTTTTTCTTTAACTCTTGAATTTCCTGAATTGACTTACTCAGGCCCTACACCAGCTGGCATTATCTAGCATGACTTCTCCCAGCAACTCCAGTGTAGCCAGAGCTAAGTAACAATAACAAGAATCAAAGCCACTGTTCTTCTGAGTTGTGTCCTGCTCCTTGGGCTACGTGCCCTCCTGGATTCATGGAGGCTGTTCGTCCTTGTTGGGGCATGATCTTCTCTCTGATCTGCTCAATTGGGGGCTTCCACTCTGGGGTCCTGCATTGCTTCTATGAATTTCTCAAAACTGAACCTCTCTTGCACTTGAGTATCTTTAAATCTTGTGTATAGCAATACATACTATGATTTTACATCACACACTCCATTAACCTTGTTGTTCTCTTTTCCATAGGCCTTCCTAATTTCCAAAATGTTTATAAACAGTTGTCAAACAGTGCTCTTAGAGTTTGTTTTCTTTTTATATTCCTTATATCCTTGGACTGGGCATATTCAGAGTAGCTGCATTTTTCCAAGCATATACCCCTGTCTATGAATTCGAATCTCCTGGAGCACTTGATAAAGGTATAAATTCCCAGTTCCCTCCTCAACCAAAGAAATTAAACAGAAGGAGGTAAGAGTAAGTGTGTAGACTAGGAATCAGAGGGATTCTTTTGCTGCACGGTAGTCCTATCTGGAGAACCTATATCTTCTAATCTGCAACATGGGTAGTTGGGAGGACTAAATGTGAGCACCCTGAGTTCAGTACTTGGCTCAGTTCATGCTCAGCAAATGGTGATGGCTGTTATTAGAGTGCTATACACCTAGATGTGAAGTAAATGCTTTTGGATAGGAGAACTAAATCTGCTATAAATGTATAATCCTTAGCCAAACAGGAAAATTATGTAACTAGAACTTAACACAGATTCTAATTTCATAGCAATACCTTTGGGTATAAAGATTCTAAGTGAAAATGCATTAATATAAGCATTAAGTATGATTTACTAAATGTACCTTTAATCTCAAAATGTTTGCAACAGTTTTTTTCTCAAGTTTAGCAGTAATGGTTGACCAACTTGTAGGTCTCTTGAAAACAGTATTAAGAACCCCAAAGATCTTTCGGTATATGGGTTCTAGGAATTGAGAAAACATGTTTCCTTTTCACAAGCACAGGTTAGTCTTCAGAGACTTATAAAGTAGGTGGAAGCAGAAATTGATAATATTATTTTTCAAATAAGGGAATCAAAGTAGAGATAGGATCTGAACCTGGGTCTTCTGATTCTAAATGTTGTATTCTTTTTCTCTTACTACCCTCAGCTGACATTCATTGACCTTCTGCTGTTTTATCAGAAACTGTGTCTCATATGCCTGATAAATAAACAGTGTAAGATTCAGTATTGATTGCTGTCTTAGATTTGAGGTCTTGGACAAAAGAATTTGAAGGCTGGAAGCAGGTTGGAAGAAAAGTCTACTCAATGATATGTCACAAGGGAAGTTTACAGTGCACTTTATATCTACAGGACTCTGTAGGGTTTCTTTCCTTTTTTTTTTTTTACCATTGTCAACATATTGTCTGTTAATTTTAAAAACTTCATTTTGCTCCAACCCTATTCATAGAAGATGAGTAAGGATTAAGTGACCTACAAAACTGACAATGAGATTAGAAAGCAGATCCAGACCCTCCAGACCAAATCATCAAATCAAATTTGGACTATGAAATTCAAACAGTAATTTGTAAGGATGAGTTCTTACATCACTTATAGATCTTATGAGTTCTTACATCAATTACAGATCTTATGACATATCAAATATATTTTACATGCCTATTATGAATTAAAGTTAACATAATGTTAAAATAATGGTGATAATCATTATTATCACCATTAAAACTTTTAAAAGAATGACTTAGGTGAGAACAAAGTAGGACTGCTTGCACAAAGCTAAGAAATGAGTGCTGATACAACTACTATTCTCACTGCTATCCCCTTCTCCACAGGGGAAATGTTTTAAGACCCTCAGTGGATGGCTGAGACCATGGATACTGATTCCCATGTATACTACATTTTTCTTATACATATGCACTTACAATAAAGCTTAATTTATATATTAGGCACCATAAGATATGAATAACTATAACTCACTGTAGTAAGATTATGTGAATGTAGTCTCCCTCAAAACATTTTAATGTACTCTAGATCTTAGTAATGTTGCCATATAATCTTTTTCCTTTTCTTATTAAGTTGGGAAATGTTACCTTTTTACATAAAGGAAGCACTGTATGACTTCTCTTTGGCATACCCCAAGTGCCAGCCTCTCTAAAGAGTTCTTAACCACAAGCATTGTGACACCAGGTACAGTCAATCTGGTAAGTCGATACCTACTAAATGACTAATGGGAGACAGGGTATACAGTATGGACAAAGGACGATTTACATCCCAGGTGGGACAGTACAAGATTTCATCATTCCGCTACCAGGAATGGCATGTAATCTAAAACTTATGAACTGTTTATTTCTAGAATTTTCTAATTAATACTTTTAGATTATAGTTGAGTGCGAGAAACTAAAACTATAGGGTCTTACTATTTAGCTCAGGCTGGCCTTGAACTCATGATCTTCCTGCCTCTGCCTCCTGAGTTCTGGGCTTACAGGTGTGTACCATGCCCAGCTCAAGGAATGACTGCATTTAATGAGACACTTACTCAGACCTTGCCTATTTGTTGGAATTGTAGTTAGGGGATGGTAACAGACGATCCCCAGTTTTTGCAATGTATTATTTTATAATGGAAAGGCATATCATAAAATAGGATCTTATGCAAAACTCTCTCTAGAGATAGTTATATAGCTATGGAATACGTATTAAATAGAGTATTGGTATGACAGTTAAGACTGGTTCATATGCTCCTGTCTGAAATTACAGTAAGCCTCATGAAAAGCTTACAGAAGGCAGAAGACAAATTTAATAAGTCTTCCTTTCTAGTCTTTCTGGCTTGATTCTGCTGGGAATGTGCAGGTGAACCAATGATTCAGGGTTCTCAGTCTAAGGACAGGTGGAAAGGACGAGAAGATGACCACTAGCAAAAATACAACATGTAAGGAATATGGAAGAGTTGAACAAAGTTTCCAAGTCAGAGACTGTTTGAAGCCTAAAACGTCCATGGGATGCAGGACAGAGGAAATCACTTCTACCAACACAGGACATTTGAGCTAGACAGATCAATCACATGTTCTTCATATTATATACTAGTGATTTTGTTCTTCCATGAGGAATTGCAAAAAAAAAAACCAACAACGAAAACCAAACATTTTCAGAAAAGGAGAGGCATTTTAGGAAGGGCTAGGATTTCTGGCATTTGTTTGCAGTTAAAATGGAAGTGGGTTATGAAAACCTTTCATGAGAAAGTCAATTGTTTTAAGCAGAGGGAACAAAGAGAAGAAAACATGTTTAACTGCTAAAAACCCACCACACGCAGTTGCAAATTAAATGAACAAACAGTGGTGAGATAATGTGGATAAATTTTTACCTCCTATATTATTAAGAAAGCTTTTACTTACGTGTTTAACAATTATCTAATTGCTTTTTTATTCACTAAACTTACTTGACAGCCTGGTAATCCGGTGTCTCTGCTGTACAGGGAAAATGAGCCTCTCTCTGATGTTTTTCCTACAAAAATCAAGAAAATAACTTCATATAAACCTTCATTTATTGATAGACAATTAACTTGACTTCCAGACTATTCATGGTAATTGGGCTTTGAAGTAGAATACTCACATTACAAACAATAAAGTACAATAAATAAATGTTTAAAAGCTTGCTTCCATTCGAGTCAGAGGAAAAGGGCAAATTCTGACTACGTAAAACAGCATGTACATACTTAACCGTGAATGTGTAAGACTGAAAATATACTGCAAAGAATGAACAAGAATTTACATCTCAATAGCTAACAGTATGATCTTCAGATTCAATCTTTCTCCTTCTCTCCTTTCCCTGAGAAATTAAAATAGTAAAGATAGAGCTCGACGCACGCCCCACAGTAAACATTATCATGAACTTGGTGAGTATGATTTGCAAGTGTATTCTGCACTTTTTAATATTCATGCAATCAAACATACACTACTATTTAATACATTTAAACGGATGGGATTGTATGGTATCTATCCTTTTAAAACTTGCATTTTCATGCAATACTGTGTTTTTGAAATTCATGTTGATAACAGGCACTAATTTATTCATTTTTACTACAATAAAATGTTTCATTATACAAATAAAAGCACAATTTACCCACTCTCTGCTGATAGGTAATTTTTACTTTTTTTGTTATTAACAATAGTATTAATACAAACATCTTGCATGTATCTTATATGAAAGTTTCTCCAGGACAGACACATAGTAGAAATGGTAGATGAAGGACAGAGGTTCAGCTTCACAGGTGTTGTTTTATTATTCCCTGAAGCCACAGTGTCACTTTATGTTCTTCTCAGTAATGTGCAAGAGTTCTTGCTGGGACAATAGTCCCAGTTCACAACTCAGATGACCAAGTGTTGGGTATGGTACTGACAGTTCTTAACGGAGAGAGGAAGTCTCATAGTGCTGACATTAACAGCAGCTCTCTCTGGATGAGACGGGGTTTGAACTTAGGGGCTTGTGCTGGTTAGGCAATTGCTCTACCATCTGAGCTATGCCACCAGACTTTTTGCTGTCATTATTTTTCAGATAGGGTCTCACACTTTTTGCCTGGGCTGGTCTCAGACTGTGATCCCCTCCTACTTATGCTTATCATTAGCTGGCCTTACAGATGTTACCATCACTCCCTGCTTGTTCTTTGAGATAGGGTCTTGCTAGTTTTTCTTTTTTGCCTAGGCTGGCCTCAAATCACGAGGCAGTTCACTGATTTTTTTTTTTTTAAACAATTAAGTGGCTTAGTTGGCATTAAAAATATGGGAGAAGAAGGCTGGTGACTCAAAATGGGACTTTTAAGGTTCCCTAGTCCAACTGCCACCCAAAGCAGTGCTATTTTGAACATGAAAGGCAGACATGGCAAGAAATCTGAAAAAGAGAGCTGCGAAAAGAAGAGAGATCTGGGAACAATGTGGTCTCTGCACTTTTTTAAAAGACTTGCAGATATACCAAGTCAAGGAGGAATCAAAGTTCAGGGTTTGGTCCCAAAGAAGAGCCTAGTAACAAGTATAAAAGGAAAGAAACACAATTATTTAGCTTGTTATGAGGAAGAACGCCTAGGAAATAAAATTTCTGTACAGAAAATCATATAAAGTTGCAGCTGTTCTTAGTGAAAAGCTATGTGGATGGATTTGCTCTTTTGTTGTGAATACATTTATTAATGCAGGTAGACATTTTAAGCAGCTAAGTTCTTACTGCTCAGTTACAATAAGCTTATGCTTACTGGACAGTTGAACATGTTATAGTGAAATAGCTGCTCAAGTCTTTAGTCCATTTTTTCCCCTACTGAATGGTCTGTTGTTTACTTACTGATTTGTAAGAGTTTTTCATATATTTTGGATAGAAAATTGCCTTAATTAGCTTTGTATCACTACAGTGAAACACCTGAGACAGCTAACTCACAAAGAGAGAGGTTTCCTTAGTTTTTAGTTTTGGAGGTTCATGGGCATGGCACCCCCCAGACTCAGAATTGGTGAACTCCCCACTCTTGGCTGAAGGCATGTGTATATAAAAGGTCACGTAGTTCCAACAGGAAGTCAGAAAGAGATGGGAGTCCCAGAATTCTCTCTGAGAATATGCCCACCCATGACCCAAGGACCTCTCACTAGGCCCCACCACTTAAAGATTCCACAGCACTTCCCAGTATCATAACACTATAGGCCAAGTCTTCAATTAAATGGACTTTTTTTTTGGGGGGGCGGGCGGGGATTACCAACCATAGTCAAACCATAGCAAAGATCTTTTACTGGATCTATGTGAACATCTTCTGTAGGTTGGCTCTCTTAATGGTGTCTCTAGATAAGCCAAAAATTTTCCCTTTCATGCAGGTCAATCTATCCATTTTCTCTTATATGATTAGCATTTTTTGGTATATGCACTTATGTAAGAAAGCTCTGTCTATTCTAAAATTATAAGACTATTTTTCTATGTTTTCTTTCAAAAGCTTTACTCTTTTGCCTTTCACATTAAAATCTGAATTTGGTTTTTGTGTGTGCTAGTGGGCAGTCATGGTACACTTTTTTTTTTTGATCTCTTGCATTATACAAATTTTTTTTTCTTTTATTATTCGTATGTGTATACAAGGCTTGGTTCATTTCTCCCCCCTGCCCCCACCCCCTCCCTTACCACCCACTCCGCCCCCTCCCTCTCCCCGCCCCTCAGTACCCAGCAGAAACTATTTTGCCCTTATTTCTAATTTTGTTGGTACACTTTTTTTCTATAGGGATAGTCAACTGACTTTAGCACTGTTTATTAAAAAAAAGTCTGCATCTTAAAAGTATCACTGTGACCACTGTGTAGAGAACCAACAGGGAAACCTGTAGAAACAGGCAGGCCAAATTAGAAAACTAGCGAAATAATCTGCAGCTAACAGTGGCTTCAATTCTCTTAACACACTGAGGTAGATGCTATTAGATCTTCATCTTACCAGTGAGTAGAAATAATTTGCCCAAGGTCACAGAATTAGTAAGTAGCAGAAAGAACTAGAACACAGAGCTATCTGACCAACACCAAATTCTTTTCTTAAGTTTTTGGTGCTGGGGGTTGAACCTAGGGCCTCACACATGCAAAGCACATCTTACCGGTGAGCTCCAACCCCAGTCTAACACCAAATTCTTAACAGCATGCACTATTTCTCCAAGGGAAGATTAGGGTGCAACTCCTCAATTCCAATCACACAGACATCTGGTGGAGACCAGGGATATTATATAAATCCTTCTCTATTTAGCCTTTGAAGGAATCTCATCTATCAACTCATATGGGTAGACATGAAACCTAGTCCTGCTAAGCAGTGGAATCAATGATAAATCACCCCCAAAATGACTGACAGCAAAATCCAAAAAACTTAAGACATCTATTTTATATAGGTTAAGGTTTAGATGTGAAGTGTTCCCCTCAAAGATTCATGTTGAAGGCTTGATCCCCAATGCATGCAGTATTCAGAGGTGGGCCTTTTCGAAAGTGATCAGGTTGTGAGGGCTGACTTCCTCAATGTATCAATCCACCAATGGATTCAAATTTTAAACAGACCAGCAGGATGTGGAGGAACATTGAAAGGTGGGGCCCAGATATAGGAGGCAGGTAGCTGGGGGAGTGTCCTTGAAGGAGTCCCTTCTGGCCTGAGTGAGCTGCTTTGTTCTGTCACATGTTCCCCACCTGATGTTCAGCCTTTCCTCAGGACCATGGCAATGGAGCCAGCCAAAAATGGACTGAAATCTCTGGAACCACAAGCCAAAGAAAATCTTCCCTCCTTTAAGTTGTTAAGTATTTTGTCACAGTAACAAAAATCTGACTAACACAGTATATAATTCCAATTTGGTCAGTTATACTAGTTTCACTCACAAGTGATTGCTACTGTTTTCATTTTTCACAAAAGATGTAATGATGATGTTACTCTTGCCGGTTATAAACGTAGTTATTCCAATCTTGTCTCTCTGGGCCTGTTTTCTAATCTGTAAAAATGAATTAACCTGGTTGGGCATGTTGGCACATATTTGTAATCTCAGCTACTTGAGAGGCAGAGATTGGGAGAATCAAGGTTAACAGCCAGCCCAAGAGAAAAGTTAGTGAAAGGTCATTTAACAAGCCAGGCATGGTGAGAAATAACTGTAATCCCAGCTACGAAGGTGGTTTAGGTAGAAAGATTGCAGTCTGAGGCTGGTCCTGAGGAAAAACAAGACCCTATCTGAAAAATAACTAAAGAAAAAAGCTAAACTAAAAGCTGTGGTGCAAGTGGTAGAGCACCTGTGTAGCAAGCATGAGGCTCGGCGTTCAAACCCCAATACTGTGCAAAAAAAAAAAAATCACCTGGACAAGGTCAGAGGTTACATAATAGCATCCTGGGAAGTTGTTTCATGTGGCCAATGCAGGGATTTGTTTGGTGTACATAAATTTAAACAATTAGAAAAATTAGGCTTGGAGGTATAGCTCAATAGCAAGAGTACTTCCTAATATGCCTGAGGCCCTGGATTTGAAACTCAGCACAAACCAAAACAAAATAATTAATTTCTGTGACAGCCATGAGAAGGCACCTTGTAGAACTCCTATTTCAGGGAAGGAAAGTAGATAAGGGTCCCAGAAGTTATATTTTGAAATCCAAAGCTGCATTTGCACTGAGGCCAGCATCCAGAAGGCTTCCACACAGTACAATGGCGAGACTAAGGCAGACCCCTTCCAGGGAGACATAGCATTCCTTTGTTAACCACGTTTGGTTCAAGAATTCCCTACCGGAAATGGATGGAATTGGAGAACATCATTCTGAGTGAGGTTAGCCTGGCTCAAAAGACCAAAAATCATATGTTCTCCCTCATATGTGGACATTAGATCAAGGGCAAACACAACAAGGGGATTGGACTATGAGCACATGATAAAAGCGAGAGCACACAAGGAAGGGGTGAGGATAGGTAAGACACCTAAAAAACTAGCTAGCATTTGTTGCCCTTAACGCAGAGAAACTAAAGCAGATACCTTAAAGCAACTGAGGCCAA